TCCGGGTCCCCCGCTTTGCGAGTGTTTGAAAAGGCAGCGGTTTGGGAGAGAGCACCAGTGCAAGTGTAGACTAGACAAGACGCTCTCTCTCCATTCCACACTCTCCCCCTTTCCTGCTGCACTGCTGAAACCGCATTTGCCCTTGCTCGCTCTGCCCTGTTACTTAGCTGCAAGTACCCCCACCCTAACTCACCGTCGAAACCACAACCCTAACTCAGTCGTCTTGGTCTAGCGAGCTAGGGTTAGTGAAGCGCCGGCGTGGCTCAGGTGAGGCGTGTCGTTGGTGCTCAGTCCTCCGTCGCCCCGCAGCAGCCGCGGCGGTTGTAGGCATCGTGGAGGTTCTGGCCGCCGCGTCCCCGTCGTCGTCGTCTGCTAGTTCGAGGTGCTCCCCCGTCCCCCAGTAACTCTGGGCCCATGTGTCGAGGTCGTGCAGGGCCTTCTCGAGGAGTTCCCGCAGCTCCCCCGTAAGAAAGGGCAGCAGTGCCCGCAGCTGTTTGCGCGCCCGGAAGATCAGAAGGCCGTCCGGTGGTACGTGTGGAGGTCGTTGTTCAGAGGCTCCCCCATGTAGCGCTATGACGTCTGCGGGGTGAGCATGCACGCGCTCAGCTTCCCCCTTGTGTGGGTAACTCCCCACGAGGACCTCCACTCCGTCAGCGGCCGCCTCCAGCATGTTTCGTAGTCGCCCCAGCTCCAGGTTCCCCACTGGGTAGGAGGCGATCATTGCTTGGAGCTGGGCCTCTGCTTCTTCCCCCGCGTCCGTGGCGTCGTGGGTTCGCTGCCAGTTGCTGGAGCGTAAGCCCCCCCACAGCAGCGCTTGTCCGCTTTGCGTAAGCTCCATGACCTCAGCAAGTTCCCCCTCCGTTGGCGGGTCACCTTGGGCAGCTCTGTCATCTAAGATCCCCGTCATGAGCGCGGCGATCTGGAACGCGTTTGGGGACGGAGGGGGGGTTCTCCCCCGTCTGCCTACATTGCCGTCTGAGGCAAGGCTGAGGCTGGTGGCTGCGGCTGCCAGGTGTGCTTGTACTCCATAGAGCTCAATGGAGCGTGCTAGCTCCATGGCTTCGAGGATATGTTCTGCTGCCGCCGCTGCGCCTGTGGCTGCTTTGCTCCCCGTCACTCTTTCCGCCCCCTGCGCTCTGCGGTCGCGGATGTGTGGGTCTGGGGCTTCCGGCTCTTCCTGTGCTTGTTGGGCCGCTGCTAGTGTCTCTTCGGTGATGCTCCGCATGAGGTCGGTTGCTTGGTGTCGTGCTTTCTTGAGGGGGCTGTCAGTGGAGCTGGCTGCTTGCCCCCGTTTGCGGTCTTCTTCCTGCTGCCGGAGCCACGGCAGGAGGTCGGGGTTTTCTTCCTCTGTCGTGTTCCCTGCGGGTGCTGTGGCTTGTGGGCTGGGCGTTCTCGCCGATGCCGCGTGCCATGGCACTGTGGTGCCTGTGTCTTCTGCCTCCCCGGCTGCGGCTTGGCTGTGGTTGTGGCATGTGTTGGTTCTCCCCGGCCGGGGGCTGACGTGTTCGTCCTGGGGGTCTCCGCTGCTGGGTTGCTGTGGTGTTCGCCCCGTCTGCATGAGATCTGTGTGGTCTGCTTCGGGCGGGTCCTCGCTGGGCCAGCTGGTCTCGGAGTCGCTTGGGGGGGGCGGTGGTGGTCTCTTCGGGGTTGGCGCGGCCTTCTGCTGCCTGTATGCGTGCGCCGGCTGGAATGCCTTGCGTGCCTCCGCTGAGTAAAAGGAGAAGGTGCTTCCTTGTGGTGTAGCACTTGCTGTGGTTTGTTGGAATGGCTGGTCCAGGGTGTCCCCTGGGGTGGCTGGCGTGTGCTTGGCTTGGTCTGCTGTGTTCGGATCCTGCTCTGGTTTGTCTGGCTGTGTGTTCTCACTGGCCTCTGGGCCTGCTGCCGTGTCCGGTGTGGTAGGTGTTGTGTTTGCTGGCTGCCTCTCCTCGGTGACTGCGGTCTCTGTGCCTGGGCTAGTGCCCGCTGCGGCGGCTTGTGGTGGTCGCTCCGCTGTTTGTGTGTGGCTCTGAGGTTGTTGTGGTGTGCGGTGGGCAGCCGGAGTCTGGTCTGTGCTGCTGCTGGCTGACTGTTGCGAGCGTGTTCCGGGGCGAGCTTCCCGTGGCTGATCTGGTGGTGGTGGTCGCTGCTGGGGCTCGGTTTGTGCTGGCTGGGGTCGCTCCGCTGCGCTGCCGTGGTGGCTTTGTGGTTGTTGTGTGGCTGTTGCGGTGGGTCCCCCTCTGAGCATGTGCACCGCCCAGGGGTGTACTGCTTGTTCTCCCCATGCTTCGTCTGCTGGGTAGATGAGGGGGAGCTCCCCCTCTTGTTGGCTTCGTGCGAGGGCGGTTGCCCTGTATGCTCTCGGCTCGTGTGGGTCCCTCTCGGGGAGCTGGACTGTGTGTCGTGCTGCCCGGATTGTGGCGAGGGTGCTGTCATCCCTTTGCAGCTGCTCTAGTTCGTGTTCTTGCAGGTGAGCACTGAGCTGGGCCGGTCGTCCTGTCGAGTCGAGGCGGGCTCGAGTGAGCAATTCCCCGTCCTCCGGGTCCATGTTGGTGATGCTCCAGCATCCCGGCTGCGGCTGCCACGTCAGTTTGTAGTGGCCGGGGCGTAGGTTGAGGCTCCCCGGCTCGGTTTGGCGGGGAGTGGCTCTGATAAACAGGTGCCATGGCCCTCCCCCTTGGTTCAGGGGGTGTAGCTCAAATTGCATCCCCATGGTGAAAGTCCCCCCTGCACTGCCTCCTTCGGCTGTCTGTCGTATGCGGCCGAATCCCCGGAGGCGGGCTGTGTTGTAGCTTGGGGAGGTCGGCGCATTGCGCGCTAGCACCGCCCCAACCCAGCTGCCGTGGCCTATGTACCTGAAGTGGGCGTGCGTGTATCTGCTTAGCGGCAGCTCTGGTGGAAGCGTCCTCGGCGGGAGATAGCCCCCCCAGGAGCCGATGTACCGACTCCCTCCTTCAACCCATGATATGGGTGAGTCGAGCGGCATGGGTCCTTGGCTTCCCCCGCTGCTGCTGCTGCTCGCGCTGCTGGGTTGCATGCTGGTCGTCCCGTTGCTCTCATGCTGGCTGGTGCTGTCGCTAGGTGGGTGCTGGCCGTACGTGCCCGTGCTCGGTTGTTCTCGGGGTGCCCCCCGGTCTGCCTGTGCCGCGGTGGCTGTTGGGCTTGGCTGCCGGGGCTGTGATGCTTTCGGAGCTTGGGGTCGTGCCGGGTGTTGTGGTGGTGGCTCGTGGTGGGTCCCCCGCTCGTGCTGCTGGGATGTGACGGGGTCTGCTTGCGTGCTTTGTGCCCCGGCTGATGCTGTCGGCTCTGCGGGTGCTCGTCCTGCTGCTGCTCGCCCCGTTGGCTCGAGGTGCTTGTTCAGCACGGTGGCGAAGAGTGCTCTGTTTGCTTCGTATCGCCGTTGTGCTTCTGTGGCTTCCTTGCTGCCTGTCTGGGGCTCCCTCCCCGCTAAAGCTGCTGCTTCTTCTCCTCGTCGTTGTGCGTCTGGGTCTGCTCCCCAGGACTGGGGTTCGTTCCCCGCTGCTGCTTGCTGTGGCGGGGCTCCTGCGGTGGGGTCGTCATCTTCGTCATCATCTGCGGCGTTGGGATCGTACGCTGGCATGCCCACCAGCGGTCCGGCTTGGTTCCAGGTCAGGTGGGCCGGCTTGTCGATCCCCCTCTTGGCAAATTCCTTCTTTATCTCTCCCTTGTGCCATTTGTTTCCTCTTCGCTGGTCCCCCTGCCCTTCATGTTTGTAATGGGATGCTGTCGCGCATCCCTCGCCGCTCTCTGCTCCCCCTCCTGGCTCTTGGCATCCGTCTGTGAGCTCCTCGGTAGGCTGCGGTGGGTGTGGCGATGGTCCGCCCCCGAGGTCAGCTGGGGCTTGCGGTGTGTTGGCTGCCGGCTGTTGGTTTGTTGTTTCAGAGGCTGTCGCCTCCTGTGGCGGTGTGTGGTCTGCCGGTCTGCTGCTTTGGCCTGTGGTATCCTCCATGGATGCGCTGCTTTGGGCTTTGTCGGGAGGGGTGTCGGCGGGGCTGTCGCTGTGGGCTGGTTGCTGCTGGTGGCGCGGCCCCGTAGCTGCTTGTGGTGGGTGTTGTGGGCCGCTTGTTGCAGTGGGGTTTGGCGGTTGCTGTGGCCGTGCTGAGGTTTGTGTCTGGGGTGCGGCCGCCCCCGCTGGCTCCTGGCTTTGGTGGCCCTGCTGGTGCGGTCGGTTGGTGTCCTCGCTGCAGTGCCATGGGTCGTTGTCGGGGTCGTAGGCCAGTGCAAAGCGCCCTCCGTCGGCGCCGTGCACCCATCCGGACCATGTGGCTGTCGCTGCGGTTGCTGGCGGCCAATCTTGTTGCCATGGCCCATGCTGCGTCGTTGGTGGTGGGTTATTCCCGTCTGGGCTGCTGGCTGGTGGCGGGTTTGTGATCTCTGTTCCCTGCCACACTTCCGTGGCTCCTTCTGTTGGAAGGTTGGGCTGCCAGCTTCCTCCCCACTGTGTCCACGTCGTTCCGGCTGGCCATTGCTGTGTCAGTGACTCTGGTGGTGGTGGAGGTGGTGGTTGCGAAGTCGTTGTTGAGGTCGGCTGTGGGGGTGTATCCCCCATTCTGGTTGTTCCTCCTCTTGTTGCTACCGGCTGGGGCTCCTGATCGGCTGGTGGCCCCCCTTGGGCCATGCTGTAGCTGCACGCTGCGGCTAAGAAGGCGGCCCAAAAGAGTGCACGCCCCCTTTGGCCAGCGGCTTTGGTGCTGTCTGCCATGGCCTACGTCTCACAGGTGGTGCTCTGAGGGCTCGGGCTCTTGCTGCGAAAGCCAAGCTTTCAGTCGTGGTGGCGTGTCTGCTCTCTCTCTCTCTCTCTAAAACTCAAAGGCGGCTCAGGTCTCTCTCTCTCTCTCTCTCTCTCTCTCTCTCTCTCTCTCTCTCTCTCTCTCTCTCTCTCTCTCTCTCTCTCTCTCTCTCTCTCTCTCTCTGCTGCAGCAAGAAGCAAAAGCGTGCAAAAGACAAGTGCAACGGTGTGGTGTTGTCTCCCCCTAGCTTGCTCAGGCGTAGGCCTTCATTCGCTAGTTAAGCAGTCGTCTCCCCGCGTTGCGGGCTTTTCGCCTGTCTTTGAGTGCTTTGGCTTTCTTCGCATCTGCCCTGGCTTGTGCGAGGTTCTCGAGTTGTGCTTGTTTCCCCGAGCACCAGGGGGGGTCGTTGGCCTCGATAAATCGCTCCTCGAGGGCCTCCCATGCGAGGCGGTCTTTGGCCACCTCCCCCCAGTGCTCCCCCGCAACTGACACGATGTGTCGCTCCGTGTCGAGGCTGCTGTTGAAACGCGCCGAGTGGCGGGCCCCCACGCTGTCTGGTAGCTGTTGTTGTTGTCTCCACCACTGCATCCCCCTCCACAGGAGCATCTGGTATGTGATGTCTCCCGCTCTGGCCACGTGCCCCCAGACTCCCCAAATCATGCGCAGGATGTAGGTCGACCAAGGAGGGAGCGCTTGTTCCAGTCTGTCCACGCCTCCCCCGGTGCCCTCCCTCCCCCCACCATGGTGCGTACATGCTGGAGCTGCTGCGTGTTGGCTTGCTTGAGCAGTGTGGTTTGCACTGGCCATGTTTCCGCCGCCCAGAGCGCGCTTTGCCGAACTAGCACGTTGTGGAGCTGCATGCGGCGCTTCAACCCGGTCTTGGCCGTGAGTAGTTGCTTGTTTTTCCCCCAAGCTTTGCGGGCTCTGGTGCACATCTCGGCTGCCAATTGGGGTGGGCCCCCCTTAAAGCTCACCGGCGACCCCAGGACTGTTAGTGCTGCGTTCCCCGTCTGGGGCTGGACCCACTGCCCGTCGATGCGGAATCGGTGTGGGTTGTTGGTGCTGCAGATAATGTGTGTTTTCTTGGGGTTGATCCTGAGGCCGTGTTGCCTGAGGATGTTTTGCAGGAGGTCAAGGGTGGCTTGCAAGTGGTGCGGGTTCTCTCCCCACAGATATGTGTCATCCATGAAGCTTCCCCCATGATGGGGTGGGGGGGGAAGCTTGGGGTTGCCCCCGCAACGCTCCCCCCGTTGCGTTTGGCTGAGTGTTTGCTGGAGACACTGCCCGACTCTAGCCGAGAAGAGCACCGGAGAGTCTGGTGACCCCTGTCGCACCCCGTTCGATTGTGGGATGAGAATGCTTTCTCCCCCTGCCTCCACGAGAACCCCCCTTGCCTGGAGAAGGGACAGCCATAGCACCGATTCCCATGGGCGGTCGTCCCCCATCTGGGTCTCAACCAGGTCGGCGAGGCTTGTCTGTGCCACTGAGTCGAAGGCCTTTTGTAGGTCCAGTTTGATGATCCAGAAAGTGCCCCCCCAGTCGCGAGCCATTCTGGCTACCTTCCTGAGTGTCAGGATGAGTTCCGTACCCTGTCTCCCCGGTGACGCCCATTGCAGGGTGTTGAGGGGCCTGAGCGTGTGGGCGCAGCGGCGGAGGAGCAGCTGTGCAATGGCTTTCAAAATGGCGCTGCTGAGGGTTATTGGTCTGGTCTCCCCCCAGTTCTGGATAGTTCTGGGGGGTCGTCCCCTTGGGGAGGAGTATGGTGACTCCCCGTTCCACAGCCGCCGGCAGGCTACCCGTGTACAGGGCGTCGTTCAGCATGGCAAGAATGCGGTACTCCCAGACTGGGTGCTGGAGCAGGGCGCGCAAGGCTTCGTGGGAGATCTGGTCCGGCCCCGTGCTCTTGCTGTTTTTCCAGCGTGTCGCGATGCCCCCGACCTCCTCTGCTGTAAAGGGCTGCCACTGTGTGCGTTTGCAAATCCGCCGCAGCCTCTCCCGGCGGAGGTGGAAGTCGGTGTCGCGTGTGCTGCTGCTGTCGTTGTCGAAGATGGCCTGGAAGTGAGCCAGGAGGGCCCCCTGCCAGTCGTGTTCGTCCGTCAGGGTTGCCATCCATGCCTCCCCTCGGTCCCCCCTCTTGTGCTGTCGGTATGCTGGCCAGTCGTGTTGGCTGGCTTTTTGTTCGATGGCCTGCTTCCACTGCTTGTGTTCCCTGTGCAGCTGCTTCTGTACGTCTTTCCATGCCTGTCGTCTTGCTCCCCCTGGTGCTGTGGAGTGGGCTGTGCGGCGGGCTTGCTTGAGCGCTCTGCTCTCGGTGAATTTGGCATGTTCCTTCCGACCCGCCTTGGTGATGGTGGAGCTGATGTGCGCTAGTTGGGCGTGGCGGTCCCCCGGCATCTGTCGTGCATGCTGCTCCAAGAGGCTGTCGAGCTGCTCCGTGGGCAGGTGGAGGTGGCGTGGTCCACAGGTCGTTGTTGGTTTGGCTGGTTTGGGTGTGTCCAAGCGGAGTTGCAGTATGACCGGTTCGTGGTCCGATCTCGCCATGTCACGCAATGACGCCACCTCCCCCTTTTCCGAAAAGAAGCCCTTGATGGCCAGGTAGTCGAGTCTTCTGGGCTGTTGGGTGGTATCGTATGGGAAGTGTGTGGCTGTTGCGAGGTCTTGCGGTGGGAGGCGCAGGCCGGCCCGCTGAAGCCACGCCAGGATTGCTTCCCCTCGGCCCGTTCGCGCCTGGGCTTGCTCTTGTTGCTGGTGGGGGTTGTGTCGTGTTGGGGGGAAGGTCTCGTTGGCGTCCACCCCCAGCACGGCCTTCTTGACTGCTAGCGCGTGGCATGCCCCCCATTGTGCCATGAGTGCTTCGGTTTTGGCGATGGTGGCGTGGTGTGGGATGTGTGCACTGAGCATGCCCCATCTCTGCCCGGACGCCCCCACAAGCACTGTGCTAACCCCAGCCGGCATGACTTGTGACTTGCTGTGCTTGCCGAGGGTGGTACGAAAAGCAACCCCTTCCCCCCTCCATTCCCCTAACACTTTGCCGTAAACTAAGGTCCAGTGCTTATTGCTGGCAAAATGCCTGCCTGCATCCATGATAAGCTCTTGGAAGAAAACCACTGAAACTGAGGAGAGCGCTTTGTTCCCCCCGAACGTCTGCAGCAGCTCCAGTGCATGAGCCGCCGTGAGGCCGCCGACGTTCCAGGTAGTCGCAACCAAGGGTCGTTGCGTGCGCCCCTTTGGGGCTGGGCCGTGAAACTCGAATTCTCGGGGGCTGTCATCCCCGTTCTCGCCGCTGCTCTCTGTGGGCTCGGTTCCTCAGCGGAGGGCGGTCTTCAGCTCCCCCCACTCTGCTTCCACATCTGCAAAGGCCTGATTGACTCCCCTGGCAATGGCTCGGAGGTTGATCCAGCCAGCGCCTGCTTCTTCGCCTTCCCCCGGTTTCGTAGTAGTCGCCGACGCCACGCGGACCGAATTGAGCCATACGGTCCCCGTGGCCCACTCCGTCTCGACCTTCTCGAGGGGCGCCCCCAGGGACAGACACAGTCGCTTTGTCTTCCCCGCGAGCTGGACTCGGCGGCGTCGTTCTGGAGATTGGGAGAGCTGCAGCCAGAGGTACTTGGCGCGGCCGTCTTGGTTCGCCCCCATTTGTATGTTGGCTTGGCGCACTCGTCGGAGTGCCGCGGAGAGACGGTCCCGGAGTTGTTGTTGGTCCTCCCCGTCCTTGGCCTCATAGGGTACTATAGCGTACCCCCTGCGGACCCCCGGGACGAAGGCCTGGTCAGTCGAGATGTCCAGCCTGAGATCTTTGACCATCTGTTTCACGTTCTTCAAGGTTTCCTCAGCTGGGGTGTCATCCCCCCATCCGCCCATAATGAGCGCGGGTTTGCGCCCCCCATGGTCCGTGTCTGCCGTGCTTGAGGCCCCGGTACTCTGGATCACCTGCACCTTGTTCTCGAGGGCCTGGAGTCTGGCCGACATAGCGTACTGTTCCCCCTGGATGCTTTCCACGGCTCGTTGTTGCTCCCCCTGTTGGTTGGTGATTGCAGCAAGGCGTTCCAAGGTGCGCTCCAACTGCGCCGTGACCCCCGTCTCGACGCGGTCCATGCGCTGGTTGATCTCGGCTCGGAGTGTGCTTGTGCTCCCCGTGACTTCACTGCGCACCACCTCTCGGATGGCTTCCAAGCTGAGCTTTTCTTCCTCTGGCGCCCCCCTCTTCTTCGGGCCCGCGGGCGAAGCCGGATCCGTGGCCATCGGGTCAGTCATGACCCCCACACGTAGGCAAAGAGTGCGAGGTCGCCCTGCGTGCCAATATCACGATCAGGTAGGTGTTGGTGTCCCCGTTCGAGGTGGATGGTGTCCCCGATCAACGGGAGGGCGGCGAGGTCCTGTAGGGTCGCCGAGGCCTATGAGGTAGCGGGTCACAAACGCCCGAAAGGTCGCGTTGTAGGCCGCCGATCACGATGGGGACCGAACTTGCCGAGTTCCCCCTAGGCAACCCCCGCGGTGAAGTGCGCAAGGTTTGCAATGTCCCCGTCCCCGCTGATGGCTGAGACGGACAGGCAGGTAGAGTGCAGTCCCTTGGTTGAGACCTACCGCCCTGCAGCAAGAAGGAAAGAAGGGAGGAGAGAAAGGAAAGAAAGGGCAGAAGCAGGACGGTCAGGCCTTGAGCACTTGAGCCAAAATGGCTTGAGCCAAAATGGCTCTCTCTCTCTCTCTCTCTCTCTCTCTCTCTCTCTCTCTCTCTCACCGACGCTACTTTGACTGTGCGACAGCCAAGCGCCGTCGGATCCGCTGCCTAAACTGGGAGCTGAGATAAGAGTCTTCACATGAAAACACCTGTTGCCATTGCGGTCAATCAGCCGACTTACTGAAAAAAGGAAGAAGGCTCTCCTGCAATGGCCCAGATGATACAGTCTCAGGCTCTGCCAGTGTCACACATAAACAGAGTCGGAATCCGAAGGCGTTGTTGGCTTTGGAGCGGGATGGTAGCGTGGATAGTCCTCTGCGTTCAGGAAGGATCGGAGCATGACGAAGGCCGCTTCTGGCTTGTATTCCGGCACCATGTGTCCAGCACCGCGGATTGTGAGAAAGTCGAAATGGTTCTGGTACCGCGTGACCTGGGAGCGGGTTCGATCGCAGCTCTTTCGTCACTGACACACGGGCTCTTGCTCAAAATTTGCCATGACCATGTGCGTTCAGGCACATAGCCACCCATCTTTATCTTGCCATCTCGTGTCCACGGGCGCCAGGACTCCGACTCTGGAATGCCAGCGGAAGACGTCCAGTTCTGCGCGTAGAAGCCTCGGCCCGTCGGAGCAAACAAACCATGAAACGCGTCTGCCAGTCCCAGAAATGCTGACGACCAAGCCACTGTTGAGGCCGGGGTCTGCGTCCCCATCGTAGATGAGGATCCGCAGCTTTTTGGCCTCCGCCTTGTGGGGCTCGCAATGCACAGATTTCGAATTCTAGAACTGATTCGACAAGTTGCGCTGGAGTACCACGGGACCAGGCTTGGCTGCGTTGAGTTGTAGGTGAAGCCCACCCCGTTGTCTCCGGTGAAGAAGCGGGCATCGCTTGCCTTGGCAGCACAGGGAGACACAACCGGTCACATGGCCTGTGATTTTCGGACTCCTTGCCGGCAGGATGCTACGTGGAGGGCTTTCTTGACTGCCTGCAAGCTTCTATGCTGTGGCGGACTCATGCTGAGCGTCTATGGAGTGTGCGTCTCGCGTGCCAGGTATTGATATTGAGTTCAGCTGCACTTGTGTTGACCCACTTGAACATAGCATGGACGCCGCCGCAGGGAGCACCTGAGACTTGAGACACTACAACAGTCCAGACAATCGCTGACTCCAGCCAAACAGTCAAGCTGTCAGGCACTCAAGTCAGGTCACCATCCATGTGCCAGTAGCTGTTCTGGTGCAATGAGAGCTGCCGCCACGAGCGAAGCCTTCAGGATGGCAGCTCCGAAGTAGCATGGCAGTTGCTGCTAAACAAGGCAACCCTGCACCTGGAACTTCGCCGTTGCATCGACGGGGCCTGGGGGCACTTTTTCAAATCAAAGTAGGGCACAGCATACCGCTACTTCGGAGCTTCGGCCAGTCGTTGACAAAGGACTGCGGTCCCACTGTCCAAGTCGAAATCGTAGCATTCATCATATAGGTTATAGTCGAAGCTGTAACCTGGACATCTGCACATCTCTACTCTCGGAGCCTTTCGCAAAACCTTTTTGAAAGAGCCGAGGCTCCTCTTTCTTGGTCCATCTTGTCGAGGGCTGCATGGCACTGCGCCGTCTTCGCTCCGTTCACCAGCTCCTCTCTGCTTGAAAGCCGAATCTAAACTACTTGACCTTTTCCACAAGGATGATCGCAGCTTTCCTCTGCATGTCCTCTTTGGTGCAGGCTTCCTGGATCAGCTTGTACGTCTTGTCCGAGAACCTCAAAGAAAACATGCGAAAACAGCGTGCAGAAGCCACCCGCGGGTACGCGGTGGTTTTCTTCTTCAGGGAGGCAGCTGACCATGGCCATGGAAGAACTCCACAGTGAAGTAGGGCCCGGCATTGGGGAAGCATCCACCCTCGTTGCCCTTAGAAAAACTGTGCCCGCATCACGGCATCATCATTGAAGCATGTCATCATGGTGCCCACTGCGCCTAGTGACCGGTCCGCCGAGGCAGCCGTCGCCGACGGCAATGCCCTCCAGGCGCATGGTTCCGGCCTCGAGGATTTGCTGCGCTAGCATCGGCACGTAGAGGCCCGCGTAGGATTCACCGACGAGGAAGAGCCGGTTGGAAGAGTACCTAGGCTCAAGAGGGCTGCGCTCATCTGCGCTCCCTGCCCCGGCCCCGGCCGAGCCACTCGGGGAAGGCCTTCATCCAGTTCTGCATGAAGATCAGGCTGTGCTTCGCTGTCTTCGTGTCGTTCCAGGAGCCGCAGCTGTACCCGTCACCGCTGGGTCCGGTCGGATTGCAGTAGGAGAAACCGATTGGAGGAGGCAAGTTGCGAATGAGCAGCGAGCCAAGCTTCGTCCATCCTTATATAGCTGCCCTGGCTGAAGGGAAGCCAAATTGCGAGAGGCTGCGAGCGACGGCTTCAGGCCGGGCGGCGGTAATCGTTCTCGAAGAGGGTTGGAACCCCGGAGGTCCGATAGGCCTGTCACGAAAAAGCCAAAGAATGGGGGACGGAGCAGATGTCCTGACAAACGGCTCGAGCCTCCGTCTGCAAAGAAGCATCTGCCAGAAAGTACGGCCCAAGCTCGGTGAATGATCCCAGCAAGGAAGATGCTCCAGGTCCACCGTTAGTCCACATGATTAGCCTGGTTCTCAATCGATTCTTGTCGCTTGGGGGACATGAGGTGAGCTTACCTACTGTCTTGTGGCACGAAGCGGGTCGTCCGTCGGTTTGCCTTCACTCTCGAAGAATAAGTAATGCTCAAACATCTCATGGCCGTCCTCCTCGCCTGCAGGGATGTAGCCTGCCAGCAACAATGCACAAAAGGGCATCTCAGGCGGAAGCTCGCCAAGGTCCTGGCAGCGCGCCTGAATACGTCTTGGAAAAGAGCTCACCCGACCATCCGGGAAGGCTGTGAACCTCGTCGTCTTTCGGAGCAGCTAGGGATCTGGTGCAGAGTGACCTCAGGAAACCATTCCCTCCACATGACTGGTCCCAGTCCAGCGCATAGCGCGATACTGCAACAAGGTGCAGTACGCAAAGACGCCACATCGCCGCCATCATGCAAGGCTTGGAGGTCGGCGCAGAGACAGCTACACGGCTCTACTGTCCACATTGACTGTCCGTCGGTCCGTCTTGTCAATTTGTACGACAACATGTACCAGCCTACAAAGTTCGAGCCGAAGCCGCCGAGATTGCACCGTGTGAAGTCGCAACGCCCCTCATTTCCCGTTATAGCAAAACTATAGAACAAAGCAGAGAACGGTGTTTGGCTTTGAATAGGCTGGCTCTGTGAAGGCCACGCCAGGCTGCGACATCTGTGCAGCCGCTTTGGTTCTGAAGTGCCCGGTTCAGCACATGTCCAAGACCGAGCATATCAAATGACTATAGTCGATCTGTGGGCACATAACTCGTCATCGTCATGAACCGTTGCTTATGTGAATTTCTCATCTCGATCTCCTCGCACCAACGGCCCTACCACTTTCGACAATGCTTGGCTGCTGGCTGGTGCGAGGAGCACCATTTCTGGTGTGCTTCCCAGCTCACTTCCACAGCAAGTACTCTAATCCATACCTCGGCAGAAAGATGTACAAGCAAGGCGGCTGATAACATTGCAGAACAGTCCAGCGCAGCACTTAGACACCCACGTCCTTTGAGCTTCTTCGTGATGATCTCGTCGGGTGTGATGATGTGGACGACGCCACCCCAACCTCGAATCCGTCAAGGAGTGCAGACGTTGAGGGCCGTGTGGGGGCCTTGGGGGGGGGCCGCGGGCGGCTCCGGCTCTTCTTTTTGGCTCCACCGGAGGGGGCCCCCCGGCACCGGCTCTTCGGCTCTTCTCGGCTCTTCGGCTCTGAGGCTTTCGCCCGCCAAGCAGTCTCGGTCCACACCCGACAGCAGGCACCTCCAAAAAAGAGAGCAGAGGTCCCTGCGGGCCCCGCTGAGGCGCTGAGCAGCCCTTTTTTTTTATCTCATCGGTCGGAGCACTGGGAGAGAGTCTCGAAGAGCTCATCCTTGTTCATGCCTTGGCTCCCAGGTATCCAGGCATCGCGACTCACAGGGCTCTTTGCGAGCCCCCGGCCAGGGCGCCAGAAGGATTCACAGACACCAAAGAGCTGATCTGAAGTCGTGCCGGACACTACGAAGTCCTGTGCTACTTCGATGCTGCTCTCATCTTGTTGCAGCATTCCGAACTTCCTGGCGGCATACTCTTTGTCCTCTGCGGTAGACAGGCATCCGATGAAGTCGAATCCACAAAGAAACCTCCAGGATCCAACAAGCGTTGCTATCGCCAGCAAAGGTGAACACGGCAAATCAACATCTGGGACCATCACGGATTGTGATCTTTATCCAACCCGGCGACGACTGGCTCTGTGAACCACGGCCCAAAACGCTTCTCATACCTCGATGACTTCTTTGCTGAACCAATTTAGCCTTTACTCACCGCAGATGTTGATCTCCGTTGGCGCACAGCATGGACGCCAGCATGTTGCCGATCATCTTCGGCTGCATGACGCGCTCCTGCTCTGTAGCAGCTTCATGGAATGCTGATTCTGCGACTGTGCCCTTGAGTCGCAAGTCCTCCCGCAGACTGAACAACTTCATACGGAAGTTTAACAGCTGGCTCATGGTCTGCACCTCGCTTGCAGGACGAACACTGCCAGACCAGCAACGAGAAGCGACACTTAAGATGAAGCCATTACGACATCAAAGCATTACCGACTGGGCTCGCTGCGTCTGTTGCTAATCCTGCAAGTCCAACATAGCATTGGTCGGTCCTTGGCACGATGCTGCAGGATACAAACACTCAGACGCTGAGCACGCCTCCAGGCCTGTCTATGGAGTCTGGAGCTTTGAACACCGCTCCTGCTGGGCCCCAGACACCTGGAAGCACTTCTGCCTGGCCAGAACTCTGCAAGGGCAGCGCAATTCACATGGCCGAGACCGTTGCCTGTTGCAGCTCACCGTCTGCAGCTGTCGAATCTGGGCAATGCGATGCAGCTTCATGCAAGTTCATGGGTACCCCAAGCAGAGTTCAAGCTTGACCGCAGACTCACTGCTGGGGCCGAAGCTCCGTAGCGCGAGTCCGAGGCGATGCCTACCTGGGCGAGTCAGCACTTGGCACCTTATGCAGCGAACGGGATAGGGCCAAAAGGGTCCCCGACACACTTATCGCCTGCCATGGCGACAATGGTCGAGCCTCAGGCTTGCTTTGGCGCACAGCAAGAAGACTGTCTCGTGATGAAGTTACGCAGGCGCAGAAGCCACCCCCCTGTCTCACCGCGGCCGGGATAGCACAACGTAAGGAAATCTCAATCCGTGCGTCTTCGTAAGCACTGCGCCATTGTATTCCATTAAGCCGCTCATGATGTCCTCTTGACCTGCATGTCAAGGTTTGCAAACAAAAGAACGACGAGGCCTGCTGTATCGAGAGAATTGCCATGCTGAGGCATGAGCGTCGACAACCAAGGAAGTGGAACAAATACGGCGCTACTTTTCCAGCTGAGCTATCACGCAAGCCAGCTGCCCACGGCACAAGACAGACCAACTCAAGTAGACCGCAGACCCATCGCCACATTCCGGTCTTCTGGACCTACGCAGCTCCGACTTTTTGGGCTGGCTCTCTCCTGGATGCTTTGGGATGCAAACGCAGCATCGCGGGGAGTCGCATACATCGCATAGTCTACATCAGCACTACGAGTACTCGCGTCTTGCAAGTCTGCTGCTGGATGGTCCAGTTCAGGATAGGAATTCTGCTCGTCCAACAGCTAGGTCCAAAAAAAAATCGACGATGGTCATGGATCGCCCAGAGGCAAACTTGCAAAAGCTCAGCATTATCGGTGGATGGCATTGGCAACGCAGTTCTTCAGGGCCTTGTTCCTGGCAGGTGCACCAAGGTAAATTGGGATGTGGCACTTTGAGTGGGGAGTCAGAAAGTTCCGGCAACAGAAGGTTTGGCCACTCGGAAGGGGGGGCGGGGGGCTTCTGCAGTCACGCAGACGACTCCTCAAGATGACATGAAGAACTGCAAGTGTGCCCGCAGTCCGGCAGCATGCAAACCAACAACACTTGCACTGTGCGCTGCTCTGTATCTGTACGAAGCGGGAAGGGCGAGATGAGAACTGGAAATGTCTGAGACAGACATGCGTTCCTGCGACATGTCGATCCGTTTTCATTGTCAGAAACAGCCAGTCAATGAGATAAAGTTCACATGTGCTACAAGTCTTCCAAGCTGTTATGCTGAGAACTTAACCGCCGATGCCCAGGTGTTGCGGGCGTGGCACCTCCTCTCGATGTCGTCTAGCCTGTTAATCATCAGATTCTGTGCTGTCCGCGAAGCGCGGAGGTCCTGCATGTGGAGGAGTACATTTTGCGCTCAAGGAACCGATGCCTGTGAGCACCAGCCTGCTGGACGATGTCCCGCTGTTTTGATTCAGCTGCAAGCTCCTGCTTTTCTGTGAAGGCCACGTCCGCTCCACCACTAACGTGAGATGCAGCGCATGCCGTGGCCTTGCGTGTGGCCTGGAGGGCCTGTTTCAACCCCTCCAGAGCTTCGCATTCTCTTTCGTAGGCTGTTGTGGCCTGCACTCAGGAATGACTAGTGATACCACACACTACAAGCGCATTGACATCCGAATCACATGCAGATGCAGATGTGGGAAGTGTTGGTTGCCGTTGCCATCGTGTTGGTGTCCGTACAATGGGTGCGTCAGAACTGCTGGCCTATCTGGCCTGGCCGTCCTGGGCCGTAGGGCTCTGCAGGGAGTGCGAAGATGCGCTGGAATGCAGAGACAGAGGTGGCGCGCTCGCGTGGACGTTGTTGTGAGCCCGGCCCAATTGGGTGGTCGAGTCACCGGGTGTGTTTCCTCCACAAGCTCGTCCAACAAAGCCGTGAATAAGTGAGTTCGATTGCCGTGTTTGATCTCCTTGGTGTGACAATGGGTTGCTGTGGCGCTGTGCAAGTCCATCTGCCGATCGCACAATCGAAGTGGGCACTTGACAAAAACGTGCGCAAGTGGGATGCTCTACCACCAGATCTACCATCACTATTTCTCAAACCCCGTTCTCCCCACATCACGGTCCCCCCCCCGCTCCCGTTCAAAATCCTCCAATGACGATGTCCGAGACAGGCTAGACGGGGGAGCCCCACCTAGTCACATAGCTCCACTGCAACCTGGAATGAGCCACTGGCATACAATGGAAGCCCCAGCTGCCTTCAAATGGCGAAAATACTGTCACCTTACAAGTAGCAGAGAAACCTAGGTCGGGGGTTGCTGGTCGGGACAAAGTCGATTGTCCGACGCGATCAAGCTGGGAGCGGTGATACTTGGAACTTGTTCGACGAAGGTCCCCCCGGCGAGGTTTCAGCTCAGTTCTTGGCGTCCAAACGTGCTCCGGTAGCTTCTCTTCTTCTCTGGAGTCGCTCTCTCACGAGGCCGGAGCAGGGAGCTGTGCAGGACCCTCTCTAATTATCTCTCCTTCCTTCAAAAAAAGAAAAGATGCTCTATGATGCTCTTGTCGCTTCTGGAAGGATGCCCCCTTTCGGCCTCCTGCAGGTGCGATCTCAAGGCATCGATGTCTTGGCGCAGCCGCTCGTTCTCGGACCCCAGCCCTGACAGGCTGGACCCATCGAGACGAACACTACGACATGTCAAGAGATGTGCCTGACAGCTCGGCCGTGGCCACTCGGTTGCCTCCCACGGCTTCCGGTGGCAAGTTGTGAAGTCGTTAAGCTCTGCTCACTGAGTGCCAGGCTGTTGTTGATGGTTTGCAGCTTCTTTTCCTCGTCAGAGCTCGCGGACCAGCTTGACTTTCAGTCAGTCTTCACACACTCTTCGCCGGGCGGACCAGGTCGATGGTTTGCACGACAGCGCTGTCATCATCTTTCTTTTTCTTCTGGAGCTTCGTTTCGTACCTAGCTGCAACTCTGCACTACCGTTTGATGTCAGAACATCCGACAACCGAACCCTTTATGCCCCCGGTCAGGGCACTGGAGTTTGCTCCGCTTCAGCTCTGCCAACTGCTTTGTCAGCGAACTCTTCTCCCGCATCTTAGCATCGAGGTCCTCTGTCGCAGGGCTCAAGAAGGATGGCGCTCAACGGCAAGGACAGCCGGTGTTCTTAGCGTCCTCTGTGCAGATCTGGCTCATCGCCACGATGCTCTTATGGTCCAAGCCAGCGCTCGAGGAACCCGCATTCTGCCGTGTCACAACACGCCGCTTGCCGAATGCAAGTATTGAGCGGTTACTACGGCAAGGCAGCACTGAGTCCTGACACTCCCTTCACAAAAGCTGCTGGGGGCGGCGGACCTTGGGTGAGCCGGGCCTCACTCCACCGGAGCGAGAGGAGGCAGAAGTGCGAGAGGACATCGCCTTCGCCAGAAGAGTGAGTGCCGACAGCTCAAAGCCGCAAAGCGATGCCGTTTTATGCTCTCGCAAAGCTCGGAGCCCGGCAGGGACAACGTTGCGCTTCGGCCCCTGCCTGCCTTCGAGCTCAGCTCCTCGCACCTGCCAGGACAGGAAGGTGCCCCTCGCTCGCCTTCGCTCTCGGTTTTTGTTGCCGGTGGCGCCTGCGACGGTGGGCTGCCATTGCTTGGAGCCGGAGCCCAGGCCATGACCTCAGGCAGAGGAAAAGATCGGAAAAAGCCCAAGCCAGGTTCATGGCTGCCGAGTCTGCTACACGGCTGGACCACCCGGCGGCCGGCGACACAAACGGAAGAAGCTGTCTCTAACCGGGCTTTACACTAGCTTTCGGTGGGCTAAACAAACTCATGATCTGATTCCTACAGCGCGTTGAAGAGTTCACGGGAAGATCTGGCAAGGCGATCGAGATCTGTCGCCTGCTTCGTCCTAAGCGCTCATCACTTATACTACTACACTCACTACACTGACAGTCACTAACACGGGCTTGCTGCTTGCATGGCATGGAGCCACTCTCGACTTCTTGCGCTGCAGCGAATCCGGCAAAGATTGGCCGCAAAGTCTCCATCGACATTCTTGAACCCCGGCGGGGAAAACACCTGGCAAATATAGACATCACACAATTTCTTTGCAAGCTCCTGGTGAGCGGTGCGTTAACTCGTCACGGCACTTCGCAAAGCAAGCGCTCTTCACTTGCTGTTGCTGCGGCCCTGACGAAGGTAAAATGTACACCTCCATGTCAACCTTGAGCTTTCACTCCATTATGGTCGCTCGTCCAACTCTCCCGGAGACCTGCACCGAGCTCTGAGCTGGCAACAACACACACAGCCAACGCCACCCGAGCACGACACATACTCTGCAGTGTCCGCAAGCTTCTCCATAGAAGACTCCAAGCCTACAAACCGGGCAAGCGCGCAAACCCAAACACATATCGAAGGACACGAAGCGCCCGCTTGCCTTGCAGCCGCTCCTTCAGACCCTGGACAAGAGCCAAGGCTGCTCGAAGAGCACCAAAAGTACAGCGAACCGGAAGTCAGAACACAGGGGCTCTCCAACACTCCCAAGCTAGTGACGACGGAAGGGGTTCAGTATGTGTGGGCGCGGTGTTCTGCTCCAGGTCTGTCTTATCCGACAGCGAAGGGTACAAACAGCATTCATTTGTGTCGTCGCAGTGGTTGTCCGGCTCAGCTGCGGCAAATCAAAATGATCTAGCAGACAGGAATGAAGGGCCAGGCCCCAAATTCCGGAGTAAGCTACATAGTATGCTTTGGCTGAAAGGACAACCGAGCAAAAACCAACCAAGCGACAGAAGATTAGACATGATGAGATCAAAGACTGCTTGCGCATTCTTTGACGCCGCTTTCCGTTTGACCAGCCTGCACCTGCTCCGCGAAGCTACGTGTTTGCCGCTCGAACTGCTTTGAGACCCTGGGCCAAGCCGTTCGATGCGGTAATTTGCGCATGCTGTGAGACCGTGTGAGGTCTGAGTGCTGAGCTGTCGGACTTCCTACATGGTCAGGCAAAGGAATGGAAGAGACTGAGACCTCGGTACCAATGCACGAGCCTTCTCCAGCGACTTGTACAAGTCGTTGCTGTCCTCGGTCGCTGGCCGCTACTTAGGCCGGGCAAGTGCCGACTGTGCAGACACAGCAGATCAATGTAAGACTTGGACTGACATGTGCATGGACTTGTCCAGGCTTTCCTGCGCAGCTAGAGAAAAAAAGATGATTGGGCACCGTCTAATTATGCACAGCATGGCTTGTAGGTGCGCCTTGTAGCACATCCAGAGGTAATACTGTTCCTGCGAGAAAAAGGCGAGAGAACAGCTCTGGAACTGCAGGAACTGGAAAGGAAAGTCGACTCGTACAATGCACACCGCGTGCACATCGGCGGTCCCCCTTTCTCTTGTCCCAGGGACGCTGGACCTCACTTTGAAGATCTGCCACCTAAACCCTAAACCGGATCCTAAACCCTGAATCTTGTGGGAAGAGCTTTCCACAAGGCTGCGGCAAGGATGGAGTCACCCAGCATTGCGCTGCCGCAGAGAAGTCCGGTTGGGATCAAGTAGTGAATCGAAGGCTCCTCACTTCGGCGCCAGAAAGAAGCAAGGATTGGAATCGGCGGACTCTGAGCGCCATGCTTGCAGCATGTATGCCCAGGCCCCGATGGCAACCAGCTCCAACATCAAGTAAGCAACGATGCGACGTGGCCTTGGCACCACAGAAATTGAAGGAGTGCCCCCGCGTTGTGCTCAGGCCAGGCAGATTGGAGTCTGACACACGGAAAGGGAAGCAGACCGGGGGCCAGGATGGTCTGACAAAGATCCGACAAAGAAACTCTTGAGAGCCATCAGTATTACAAGCCTGGCCTCAACAAGCAGTGGAGACATATTCCGGCTCGTTCCTCAATGTGCTACTCGTCCAGCGATTGAAAACTGCCAAGAAGGACTCCAAAAAAATGGCCTGCAGAAAGCTGGTGTAGGCCTGCACAAGAAAGACAGGTTGACGACGAGTCTGGCCAGCCTCAGAGTGTTTTGCAGCTCCCCCGGCCTTGTCTTGTGCCCGGTTGTAGGCCTGCCAGCAAGGACATTCGATGTCTGCGGCAGCTGATGGGTGAAGGGACGATGTTAGACGGTTGCCCGGGCGGCTCCAGCTTCAAAAAAAAGTACCCGCAATCCCTGAAACCGCCAAACCCGTAAACCTCACCTCGGAGACCGAGGCCATGGTCTCCATTGGAGCGTCATCAGCAGCCCCCGCTGTTGCTCCGAACACTCTGGGGTTCTGTTTTTCTGACACATGGCCAATGGCAGGACGTAGCCAACATTCCTGCTTGCTCATTCGGCGGGTGCAGGTCTGCGATGGCCTCGCCGTGAACTGCTATGAAGAGGTTGAGGACGCACACCTAGGAGACACCAATGCCGTGCATGGAGCGCAAAACAGCCAATGGCGAAGGAACCGCTCAAGCCTTCGGTCTCTGACACAAAACACGACCACAGCAGTCAGGAGGAATACAAAGGTCATCGGTGTTCCCTCCTTGTCACAGCACATGCCGCAAGGACAGTTAGGCCTCATCCTGGCAGACTCCCAAGTGCTCCTCAGGAGCACCGCCCACTGCGAGGGCAACATCGATCCCGTCTCCATCGCCTTCGGTTCGCAAGTGACTGTGGTACAAAGCCGATCGCTGCAGGTGCCGCAGCTCTCAGCCGCTCAGGCGTCCACCCAGCAGCAGCAGCTTCAGCGATCCCAAGGCCTAAAAAGTGCTCAAGCTACGCTTGGAAGAAACCACCGATTCAAAAGCCTAAAGCAACTTCAATAAGCTAAGGCAAGGCGCCACGTAGTAGTGTTGCGGAAGTGGATGCCTGACCCCGAAGTTGAAGTAGAGTGCAAGTCCTCCTTCCGGTACAATCTGAGGCAAGCGCCCGAGCTCCAGCGCCATTGCGCCATGCAGGAATCCCACAAGCACGCAGAAAGTCACCACCAGTATCCTGCCGGAAAGGCAACAACAGGCTTCGGGGACTCATGAAACATGTGCTCACACAGCTGTTTCCCAAGCCGGCTGCACCCGCCAATTGAGGTGGAGAAGGAGGCTTGCAGGATGGGAAGGATCTTCTCCCCAACCTCAAGATGCACTTGCCTGGCCTCCTCATGTTTTCTCCGAAGCTGAGGGCCAAGCATATTCGAAGGCCCTGCAACCTCAAGTCGGACATGCAAGAAGCTTCGGCAAAATATCTGGAGATAGCTCTCCTCGAAAAGGCTTTTCAATGGTCTGGTTGGAGCGGCTACCGTGTTTTAGATGCTGAGCTTGCTCTCTACCACAAGCAAAGCTGCGAGGAGCTTTCTGCTTGGGGAGTGTGTTGCACTTGACTTGGCATATTGACACCATTTCATCCCTCCACTCATCTCCTTAACGACGGAGTGACCAAGAATAAACAAGGAAGTAACAACATGAGAAATTGGAAATTCAGCCCATGCGTGAAGGTCACATCAGGACCACACCGGTCGCGGACACCTCTAGTTTTCAGACAAGCTTCTCCATGTCAGCTGAATCCAGCGGAATAGCACCAGCACGGAGAGCATGATTGGGATGTCCTCCGAAATAATCACAACAGCCCATGGTGACTTGCATACATCCCATCCCTCAAACGTCCTGAAGACTTACATCACCGGATGTCCACCAAACTAGCACCTTGGAAGTCAAGCGTTTCCAAGCCATTGAACACGCACACAAACAGAGTACTACTACGGATGCACCGATGCTTCCGTCCACATCGAGGTACAGTTTATTTCGGTGCTTAACAGCTGCTGGGCCACCATCAGCAGAAGGATAGACACCCAGTTGTAGAGGTTCCTCGGCGACTGATGGGGATATGTTGGGATGCATGCAAACAGACTCTTACAGAACCACTGACAGGCCGAGATCGGAAATGACTGCAACAGGGATGGAACTGGCCAGACGTGTAGAACGCATCCGAAAGAGTCATGTCAATCGAGCGGCTCCAACTTTGTGAGGTAAAGTGGGCCCCTGACAGCATCCGTGAAAGTCTCGCTCGCTCTGCACGGTGTTTGCAATGGGCGCGCAGGTAAGTCCACTGCGTGTGCTGGAGGTAGCACAAGTATCCGGCCATTTCCCAAAACTCGTAGAAGAGCTCCTTTTCGGTTTGCAGGACAGAGCTACAAGTAGGAGTCTTCAATTAA